TGGAAGGGTTTAAAGATCTCGGTAGACTCAGTTCCTGTCCTACTTAGCCCTCATGACTTGCCACTTTCTTTTTTAATTCAGAAAATAATTTATATTAATAATGTACAGCACACTGTCTGACAGGGAGGTTACTTAACCTGCTGAAGAATATAGTAAATTATGTAAAGTGGAAATGGAATAGAAGATACTGAAAAACTACAGTTTGGGTTCCAGTTGTACTCAGACTGTGATACTAAATATATTACTTGAGGAACACTACTTCATTTGGACCTAATACTTACCCAATCTACAGAACCCAGGCTGGACAATCTGTAAGCAACCTGACAAAGTCTCATTTCCTCCTATAAATAGCCTTAATCCCACAAAAAGCATTTCCGTTATAAGTGCCAAGGTCCTTGAGTTCTATTTAAAAGCTTAAAGAATTTGTGCCAAAGGGGAGGGCCTCAACTCTGTCCCATATATGAGAGGGGACATACCAACTCTATACTGGGTACAAAAGCAGTAGGGTTGGGTATGGTAAGTAATCAGAAAACAGTGATAAATTAATTGGTATATTATCAAAACTTCAGTTTATAGTTTAGTAGTCTCTTTTTTTCACTGTGTATCTTCCTTTTCATTACTGCAGTACGTATCACAGGGCTGATGCCAGGAACTATTTGTCCCCCAACATTTGTTCTCCCTTTGTGGTCATTTTAATTACTGGACCCTCCTCCCATCAAGAGGTGAGATGTATGCTTCCTCTCCTTGAATCAGGGTGGGCTCTGAGACTGGCTTGATCAATACAGTGCACTGAAGTGATGCTATGTAACTTCTGAGGTTGTCATACAAAGCCTTGCAGCTTCCTCCTTGGCCCCTAGGAATGCTCCTGTAGCCCTGAAATACGCTGTGAGTACAACCATCTGGAGGCTGTCGTGCTGAATAGGCCACAAGTAGACGTTCTGGGAGACAACCCCATCTGAACCTGTCCTTCCACCATTCCAGCCTAGGAGCCAAACCTCTAAATGAAGATGCCATTTTGGGACTGAAGGTCCTTCCAGTCACAGCAGCTCCAGTCCCCAACTGTTAAAGTCATCTTCAAATACTCTTAATCATCCAGCTGAGGCTCCAGCCTTACGGATTGGAGCAGAGTTGCCCCATCTCTCTGTGCCCTTTCTATAGCTTGGACCCATGGAATCCCCTGAGCATAATGGCTGTCTTACACCACTAAGTTTTGGGATGGTTTGTTACACAGCAAAAGATAACTAGAACACCTTCTCTTAGAATCTCTGTTTTAGTTGAGTAGAAGGTTGTCCACTTAGAGGCTTCATTTCCCAGCATCCGCTTTTGCAGGTGAGTGTGGCTATGCGTCTTGCCTATGGTGTGTGAGTTAAGTGATGCAATCTCCAAGTTATGTCAGTAGAACGTTAGTGCTTATCCTCCACTTCCTCTCCCTCACCGCTTTGTGGTGGCTGACATAGTGATAATTGAAGCAGCTACGTAGGATCCACAGATATTCTGGATTCCTGTCACAGACTGGATTCCCCAAGTGGTGGACTGAGCAGAATCTGGTGTGCAGAATATTTATTAAGGAGTTCCCTGGGGATCAACAACAGTAAGGGAGGGGAAGAAGGCAGGAGTGGGCAGAGGGAAAAGTTGAGCTGCAATGCTGGTCCAGTGGTAGTCTCAACCAACCCCACAGTGCTTGGGAGCTAAAACAGCCCTTCAGAATTGTCCTCTATTTGGTCTAGATGGACAGGCCGTTTTCCTCCCACATGGGTCAGTCACTGGATGTGGGTCACCCTGACATATGCCTTTGCCTGGTTGTAATCATAGTGTATTATCTTTTATTGCATAATAAAATAACTCAAAATTTAGTGGCTAAAAACAAGTATTTATTAGCTCAGTTTCTGTGTATCAGGAATCCAGAAGTACCTGTGGTTGCAGTTAAGCTGTTGGCTGGGGCCGCAGTCACCTTGACTTAACTGGTGGCCAAAGGGTTCAACTCACTGATACGGGTGCTGGGAGGCCTCTTCCTGACTGCGTGAGGCATCTCCACAGGCTGCCTGTGTCCTCACGACACGGCAGGCAGAGATCTGGAAGGGAATCAGAGAGCCCAAGACAGAAACCAGTCTCCTAAAAGCCTCATCTCAGTAGGGACATACTTATTCATTAGAAGTGAATCAGTTTGGTGCAGCCCACCCTCAGGGAGAGTGGATGACCAAAGGGCGGGAATCCCAGGAAGCAGGGATCATCAGGGCTGCCTTAGAGGCTGCCTGTCACACACAGCATGCACATAATTTTGTATCCTGCCATTTTGTTTTCACCAACTTAATGTTTTGTTTTGCAACATATTCTTTGTTTAAACAATGTATTTTTTAAAATTATAAAAGCAATAAATTCTTGTTACTGTAAAAACTTTCAAATGCTCAAATGATAGAGGTGTACAATCCTTTCCTTTATGCTATTCCTCAGACTGTTTGAACTACCCAGAGGTGACCACAACAGTTTTTTTTTTTTTGTATCTGCTGGGCTACTTTTCACACATACATTATTACATTTTACGGTCGTACCAAAAATATTTTAAGCAGTCCCCTATTGGTGGACATTTAAATTCTTTGTTTTATCTGACAAACAATGCAAATGTACATTCTTACCCATGTGTCTTTGCAAATTCATGCCAGTATATCTTTAGGATAAATTCCTAGGAAGTGGAATATCTGGGTCTAAAAAAATGCACATTAAAACTTTTGATGGCTATTGTACCATGTATGAGTGTGTCTGTTTCCCTAGGTAATGGCTAATGCTGGCTATTAGTAAGCTTTTACGTTTTGGCAGGTCTGGCCATGGCCACCACTTTATTATGTACGTATGTGTATTAGAATGTTATGATGTTACTGTAACTGATGTTTACGTATCTTTTATTATACTGTTAGCTTCTTAAGGGCACAAACTAAATTGTATTTCTCTTTGTAGTCCTAGCATTTAATACTGTACTTCACACACAGTAGATACTCTACAAATGTTGAGTAAATGTTGGAGTTGAATTTAAAGCTTTAAAATGTCACTGAACCAGGAATCAAGACAGCTAGTTAAAACCACAAGGCCTGTCTCTAATTTGCCCCTTATTTTCTCTGGCCTTCATTTCCCAATTACAAAATGTACATGTAATACTAGATTTTTTTCTATAGTCCTTTTCAAATCTGAAATTTTATGCATCTAAGAAAGAAATTAATGTTATTAATCTTATGATCTCTTTACATACCAATTCAAATTAAATGCTGTAAACTAATCACTAGTCCTAAACCATGCATTTCCCTATTTTTCAAACAACATATGCTTTTCAGTGTATAAGTTATTTAAAAAATATTAAGACGTCAAAGATTTTGAATCAGTGATAGGTAAATAAATCTTTTACCCTTTGGTAAAACCAGAACGGTTCTCATCCGAAACTGGAACATTAGGAAAAATATCTTATAAGGGAGTGGTTTTAGAAAAATGTGGTTCCCTATATAAACATCACAAAACACTTTAAACATGTTGATCACCCACTGTGGATCGGGTGCTCCTGAGGAAATACAACTGTCACCTAGATTGGGGTGACATGGTGATCACCGTGTTAAGCAAATGGTATTTGGCTCTGAGATTCTTGCTTTCTTAAAATCTAGATCTGAGTCAAATTTCTCATTAATATTCTTGTCTCGGGCTAAATGAAAGAAGTAAACTAATTAAAGTACTATGCAACTGTTAAGACATTTTAAAACATTGGTTATTAGAAAATTACTTGGGGATTATCAGCTAGCGTCATCTTTTTATAAAAGGTGGCCATATATGTATATATACACACTTTTTTCATTCCAAAAGGTCATTATCAGATTTACTTTTCCATGTGTACTTGTTTCCAAAAGTTGAGTCAATCACAGACCTGAAGTCTAGCAATGCCAGGATAGGATTAGCCTTACAAAGTGTCCTAAAAAATGATCATACTCACGCATATCACTTATTTCTGCTTGAACTCTAATTTTCCCAGCCACACTGGGCCTTTGGTAACAGGGGTTTGTAATGACTTTGCCAGTGACATTTCAACAGTGGTCATGAATGACACTGTTAACATTAAAAAAAACCCAAAAGAACACCTCTTGCCACTGCATTGGTTGCTAATGGGAGCTTGAACAGTGGTGGGGTAATCTGTTTGGGTGGCAATAAGGCCGACAGTTTACATGAGCCAAAGGTTTATGTTGGCAAAAGAATCTGCCTGTCCTCTTTCACGCGTATCAGTAGTCCTCACCCTCCCTCAGTGGCCTATTGCTAGCTTTCCCTCCTCTGATAGCACTGTTTTATGTCTTTCCCCTCAGAAGTAATCTCTTTTAAGGGTTAGTTAGAATCCAACAGGCTCAGTAAATCTTACTGTGACTGGCTAAAATTCCATCAAAATACGCATAGAGTTTTGCATAATAAATTAATTTTCACAATCCTGGTGGATGGTTTGTGGTAGTAGTATTCTGTTGACTGGATTGACCTTGTATGAGTCATTTAATTATTTTGAGTCTTAGGAAAGAAATACATTTCTTTAGGAAAACATAAGCTAGAAGTTATATTAGGCATGACTTTCCCTCTCCCAATCAATGGAACTGACTTTTCCACTTGATTCACTTAGCATGGGGACTTCAAGGACTCCCTTGGATGGTTAGTTGCAACCTTCTGAAACTACCAGCAAAATTCTGATTACACATTTTCCTATGATGACGGTCCTCAGTTATTAAACACATTGAGCATTTACTACGTGTCAGGAAATAGGCCAAGAAAGTTTTAAAGGCTTTCTGCCTTAATCCTCATAACAACCCCATGACGTAGGAGTAAGTACAATTATTACAATTTTTATCCTTGTTACAGATGAAGAAACAAATCTTAATTTTTTCTAAGTAACTTTTCCAAAGTTGAACAAGATCTGTCTGACCTGGCAAGAAATGGTGTTTAAACAACTCAGCAACAAACAATAATAAATTATTGTACACTGAGTATTGTTAAGAAGGTGTAGTACTTTTATTAATGTATTCACTGTAATAAAACTTACAATAAATTTGGGGGGCATACTGTATGAAGTTTAAGCTTTAAGATTTTTCCTGTACATCTATTCAGTTTTTATAGTGGTCCAAAAGGTTTTTATTAGAGGCAAAATGGGTCAATAAAAGTATCTTTAATTAAACATTCTTGCTTTTAGTCTCTAACTGGGTGACAATGGGCAAGTTATTTGATATTTTTTTGGTCTTATATACCAACTGATCGCAGAATTTTTGTGAAAATTAGACATAATGTACTTAAAGCTTTAATGGCCATATTCAGAAGGTCCTCTCTGAATGGCATTATTAGTCCAGAGTTTTTCTGGATTGCCATCTTCACCCAAAATGACTTGACCTTGATCCTTTGCAGATTTCTCATTGTTGACTCCCTCACTGCTTAGAATCAAAATTTCATCAGCAACGTTACTCTTCTTACCTAGATGTATTTTTCTCCTATCTGGGGCTTTTCTTTGGAAAGTCTGGCAACCATCTTCAATGTTTACACTCACAATAACCTTAATATTCAGCATTAAGTGGCTAATAGGTGCCCCTGGGATGGCCTTTCATTTTACTTCACAAAAAATCAACACATCTTACTGAGTACTACTTAGCCCAGACAAGGTTTTCTTTACAGAATTACAAGTTCAACACATGCTGCCTAGATGGCAGCCCTAGGATCCTGGACCATCTTACTCATATATCACTTTTTCTCCATTTGAATGAGTTATTCCTTCACCAAGAATCTTATGAAGTCTATACTCATTCAATGAAGAGTACTATGTAAAATACATACTAAAATTATATGCCCCCTTGAGGTCAGCAACAGTGCTAAGGGGTAAAGAAGGCAGAGAGGGATAAGACATTTGTATTAAATTCAAAGACTTTCAGCAAGAATTTATACAATTTCAGGCAACTAAGAATTTTAAGCAAAGTACTTTAAGCAAAGTACACAATTGCATGACATATCACTGAAGTGAATAAAATAACAAGATTCTGTAAAAGCTGTTAGGTGACAAATTTTGTACAATTTTTAAAGACAAAGTACTGATGGCATACTATAGTCTAAAAAATCTTACCCTCTGTTATATCAGTAAAGTTGTAACCTATAGTCAGGGCTAAGTCTTTAGTGAAAGCAGAAAGGAGTAAAAATTACAAAACAAAGGATTCTGAACATAGATTTGGAAAAACATTTAATATAGCATTAGATTATCTCCTAGATTAAGTGTAAAATTTTAATTTTTTTTTGACAATTGAAAATTATGAAAGCTGTTAGTTTTGTCTTCTATCCCTGGAATAATTTAGTTGCTTAATACTACAGATGGTATTAATATAATAAATATGGAACATCGATGAGGACCTAAATTATATCTCTTGAGACCTCCCTCATTCCAAGGGTGCATATGTATGCAATCTATTATACAGGAAAAAAAATCACATAAATCACCACAACATTATAAACAGATTCAAGAGAAAACAGAAAAATGTGTTATCCATTAAGCTCCTCAATACTAATTCTTAGAAGTAACAACCTATGGAATCTGTATTAATGGGAGGAAATTATGTACAGCAATTAAGAACAAATAGGCTTTGAAGTCAGAAAATCAGGCGTGATTCTATGACTTTTTTTTTTGCCGTGGCTTTCAGCAATATCCCAATATCCACCCAATATCCCTGGGCTTCAGTTTCTTCATCTGTAAAATGAGATAACACTGCCTCAAAGGGATGTAACAAGGACAAAACAAGATAATGTATGTAAAACCAGAGTGCTTAGCACATTAAAAAACCTGAATAATCATTAGCTATCATTATTATGATTATTATTAATTAGAGTTGTCCAAGATACATGTCTGATGTATGGTTATATTATATATATTTTTTCTATTTACCCAGCTTGACAGAATACATAAATTTTTTCTTTAGCACTTAAAAAAAAAGGCCCTAATGGAAGCTATTCTTATTTCAACCATTTTACAAATGTAAGTCATCAATGAAGATAAATAAAAATTCACATTTTAAGGATTTTCTTTTTTTGTCACAAAGATTGTCAATGCCTTTACATGAAAGAGCATCTGTATAATGTTTATTAAGCTGTTTAACAAGGTTTACACACAATACATAAATGCTTTGAAATCTCAAGCTCTTTGATAATTGCAATATCGTGTTCAAATAAAACATGGTAGAACCTTAAATATGACATCATTCAGATTATTTTTTAAAGAGATACCTCGAAGAGAGCACTCCAACATAACTGTCCATTAACTAACTGTAGCAAAACTGGGTCCCAGTAGATATTTCAGCATACGGATGGTTCCTCTACTGCCTGAGCACCCTCTGTGACAGCTTTGACACATTTGGCCATTGTCTGTGAGGCTCTGCTAATTGAATCTGGAAGATATCAAGAAAATGTGCATTTTGAAAATACAACTTCAAAAAATGCACATAGTAAAACTTTGCTGTTGTCCACATTCAGGAACAACTAAAAAAAGACTATAATACTCTATGTAACTATATGTAAATACTGGAAGATCAACCAATAAGTTCAGAAGATAAGCCCTTTATTAGCTAATAGTAAGTACTCCTAGGAATGATTCAATAGTTTTATGCAGCCATACAATTTGCCAGTATGCAACCAGTAAAAATACAGAAAAATATTAAAGATAGGGAAAAAAATGTGCATATATACCATTATTGAAGAAAAGGGTTACAAAACAGTATACTAAAACCATGAATTGTACACTTCATAGGTGAATTTTATGGTATGTAAATTCCATTTCAATAAACCTGCTAAACTGCCCTCCACTAAGTAAACGAATAATCTCATTTTTAGTTTAAGTAAGTTAATATATGCTTATATCCCTGGATGACGGACCAAAATGTTAAACATAAATGTAGTTATTTCTGGGACGTGGGATCATAGTGACTCTTCCTGCCCTTGTGGGCTTAGGTATATATTCTACGAAGAACACAACTTTCGTAATATAACTAAAAAACCTATTAAACATAATCTTAGGTATAAACAAACTGTATTAAAAACTTAAAATATACGCCTATCTGCTTTTAGAACAGAAAATTATTTAAAATCATCTATTAACTACCTCATAACCTAGACGTTATATCAAGTGTTGTAAAATCTTCAGTTAACAAGTTTGTTAGTCTGTATTCCTTAAGAACATTCTTAACAATTTACATCAGAAGCACCATTTAACATGTTTCACATTTTAGTGTTTGAATTCTTCTATTGTAATTCTCAGAAAAACCTTCACAGTTGTCACTTAGAAAATTCTTTCTAAATTGCTACACAGAGATTTTTACATGTAACAGTAAAATTTTATATTTAAAATCTGTTCACTCTTCTTAGATTTTCAAACTCTACTTACATTTCAGAAAGATATTAAAGTAAAATCAGAAAATATGAAATTTTATTAGTTCTGATATTTGAAAATCTTCTAAGATTAAAAATATCGAATACTAGCACTAACAGGCTGGAATCATAATGCTAAATTAGATGACCTTATTCCTTCCCACCTTTCACATCTGGCAGTCATGTTGACAATTGCATACCTGTCATGTAGAAGTCTTTTATTGTTAGCTGAGGTGGAACAAGTGGATCAGCAAGAAGCTGCTGGTTCACTAGCTGCAAAAAAAGGTAAGAAAACAGTAACAGTATTGAAAACTAGTACTGTCACACCAGAGGATACATCATGATGAAAACTGCACATGCACAAGTTTTACCTTGGAGAGCTCATTCGCTTGTTGGAAATAATTAGCTCCTTCAACATCATCATATCGAACAAGATTAGGAGAGACTTCTTCCAATCTGTTCCTTACTTGATCCAGAGTATCATATGGTAGAGTCATTCCTGCAATCTGTAACATAACAGGTTCCAAAAATTGATATAAAGCATTAATACTTAAAAATTTTAAATAATATATCACTGCAGCTACAGTAAAATAATGCAGTACTATGGAAAAATATATTGGTGTCCACTTGTATGACATTAAGCAAGTGGTTAAGTGGGGAACACTACTATCAACAATTTTTCTAATTAATAAATAGCTGTCACTACTTACTAATTTATTTTTTAAAAAACAGACTGATTATGAAATAAAGAAACGCTTTGCTAAAACTGAATGCCTGTGCTAACCTGCTACTGATCATATACACAGTTTACAGACAACTGTCCATTATTTTAAACCTCCTAATGCTTCTTTTTACAGTGAAAAGAATTAAAAGAAGTCTCTTTAGGGAAAAAACAAGTCAAAAATAAAAACACTAACTTGAAATCCCCATTTTCTAAAGATGTGTTTTCTACAGAGATTATTCAAATCATCTCTGAATCTCAGACCTGCACCTTCCTTGACTCTGAAATCATTCTGACAAGCTGACATGTCACACACCCCATTAGCAGCATCACCAAGAACGAGTACCTCAGAAAGGGCTCTTATAATTTTCCAGTCTTCTCTTGCCAAGCCAGGAGGTGTCACTGCTACTTTAGTCTGCTGAGCTCGGCCCTCAGTGTTGACGTAAGTGGCAGACTTCTCTGTGTAAGCAGCGCCGGGGAGAATGACATCAGCTATAGGAGCTCCGACATCACCGTGATGTCCTGGGAAAAGACGGAAAACGGTAAATCACATTTGAGCACAAAGCTGATTAGGTATAATACATGAGCATAGTGTACAACCTTTAAAGTCCCATTTTTACAATGACAAGTGTTTTAAAAATTAAAACACTATAGCACTTAAGTACTTGGAATAAAAATTACAGTCCATCTTGCCCTTGTTAAACTCCCTTCCCAAAGATAACTACTGTTAAAGCCTTTGGTATGTGTCTTCCCAGATTAATTTTTGCAAATACATAAATATGTATAATATCATACATCACATATAATGGGCAACTAGGTATATTATTTCTTTTGATGATTATGAAGTGGAAATGCTCAGATGTATGTTAGTGAAATTTGGTAAAGTAAACTGAAATGGTAGAGAAACAAAAAGTGGAGAACAGGAATATGACAGTAATAATACTTAAAAGGGCATAAACAGGAGAGTACAGAGAATAGTATACTGAAAGAATACCTACTCATTAGAAGTTTAACAAACGTGTTGGAAGAAAAAAGAAATCTAAGTGAAAGAAAGCTATAGAACATACAAAGTTTGATCTCACTTGTACACATGTGTTCATATGAACAGAAATATGTACGAAACACACATACCTAAGCTATCACCAATGATTATCTCTGGATAGAACTAGCATAAGATTTTAGTTTATGCATTTTGGTCTAACCTTATACTAAAGGTAAGAAATATTGTTACACAATGCTTTTTATATGCCATGGCAATAAAAAGCCTATTATAAATTTATAGTGTTATGTATAAAATAAAGTGCAAAGTTACATATTTTTCTCTGTAAATTATCCAGGCATACTCTGGACTCCATTTATTCCAAGGAAACTTGATTACATTTACAATGAATGAGAGTTTGAGAAAATGAGTTAAACACAAAAAGCCAAAGGAGTACTGTTAAATACAATTCATTAAATGTCCTATAACACAAGACTCATGATTTTTTGACTTTTACATTGTTTACATAAAAGTGCTTTCCGTTAATCATAATAACACTAAATATTCTTTGAAAAGCTGGATGTAATACTATATAATATTTCATAATTTATATTACTGTTCTGGGGACATTTAGGTTTCCTCTAATTTTTCGTTATTAAATAACACCAGGTAATAATTCTTAATAGCAATATCAACTATGTAACTAATAAAACCAATTTTTAAATATAAAATTTAAAGTATTTAAATATCTATAGAAAATTTAATAACCATTTAAAAAACTTGGGGGCTGTGTGGGAAACGGAAAATATTCAATCAACTAAATATACCTCAATAGTTTCTAATATACACAATGTACTATTCCCTTTGGTTTTTAGTGTCACAAAAGCTACTAACCTTGATAAATAATGAAACAGTCCTTTGGCAAATCCTGTCGAGTGATACAACCTCCATCTGCTCCCAGAAGAAACAGTACTTTGGGAGGGTTCTTCCGAATTGCTTCCACCCCAGGTTTATAGCCAAGGTCCAAAGCAGCTACTTGGCTTGCGATTCTGTAAAACAATTATGGATTTTTAGTAACCTTGCTGTGTTCTCATTAGAAAAAAATTAAAGAGATTCCTGAAATGATACCTAGTCTCTTTTCTATTTAATGCTGTCAAAGATCTTCCCTCATCTTTCCTACCCATTTAAAATAGATGTCAAAACCAGAAACAGCAGTCTTTTACTGTTTTAAGAATGGCAAACAAAGAAACAAGATGCTTAGGACACTGTCTCTTCATGAAATAATGCTTACTGCAGTAATTTTGGAAACTTTATGCCAACTGCAACTGTCTTAAATTGATTTTTATTCAATACAGTAAGACTTGATAAAGCCAAACACAGTTATTAGAAAAAATTAGATGATTCTGAAAACCAAAAGGGAAAAATTTAAATACCACTCATAAAACTAATTCACAGAACTCTAATTAGTATACTGATGTATGTCCTTATGGATATTTTTCAATGAAAATACATTACTATTATAAGCAGATAATAATCTTTTAAAAAAGAGGTCTCAAATAACTATCCTTTGACATTTGGGAGTCTTTGGTCTACTCTGCTACCATTAACTTTCTTTATAGAAAAAGCAGTCATTGCGAGGGTCTACTGTGCATGAAGCTTTTACCTATTTGGTAAGAGAAGAGGGCAGGTCAAACAAATTCACACTAGATGCTGCTGCTCTGTCAAACTCTCTAATTGGACATCAAAAGAATAAAATCCTTTGAAAAAACTTAACAAAAGAGGTCCAAGATTTGTTGAAAGTTACAAAACAACTCCAAAGGAAATTAAATGCCATAACAAATGGACAGACAGCTTACGTTCATGGATTGGAAGACTTAGTATTGTTAAAATGACAATAATCCCCAAATTGATCTATAGATTTAATGCAATCCCTATCAAAAATCACAGTTGAATCTTTTGTGGAAACTGACAAGCTAACCTAAAATTCATATGGACTGTAAAGGACCCAGGATAACCAAATCTGTCTTAAAAAAGAACAAAGTTAGAGAAAGCACACTTCCCAAGTTCAATTTTAAAATTTAGCTCTCCCTATCGCTCCACCTACATAGTATTTTTTCTTAATTTCCCTCATTCTAAGTCTTGCTGTCTCTCAAAGATGTGGGCAGAGACTCACATTAATTTATGACAGAGCCCACCTCACCTTGGAAAACAAACTGAGTGTAAGTCTAAGTTTGTCTCGACGAGAATGATCAGTAGACAACACAAAAAACTACAGAACCAATTAAAAGAGTCTCTAAGAGTTAGAAAATACGCTTTACTCTGAAACAGACTTACTATAAGAAATAAAGAAAAGGTTTTAAAATATAAGTTTCAGGTCCTCAACAAGCATTAAAAGATATGTCTTAATAAACTACAGTGAATTTTTATAAAGAGGAAATCTTGTGGTAAGAATGAAATGAAAAAAAATACCAAAAAACAAGGTTAATCAATTAAAAATTACAATGGTGTCAGTGTTCACAGTAATGAAAACTCACAAATGATAGAATATAAGAAATTCTCCCTAAATACAGAGAAAAAAATGAGAAAAACTATGAGAGAAAAGATAAGAGATGAAAATTTAAAGGGCCAACCGATGTGTAACAAATAGACACTTTTGCACAAGAGCAAATAACAATGTAAAAGTAAACCAACTGGCTTTTTCTGAACTCAAAAGAAAAAGCAAATCAAAACTTTCATTTTGAAAATGGAGAGTTTTATATTTCGAGGCAAAGGTAAGGTCAAATGAATGTCACCAGTTATATTCTGGTAGAATTTTTTAACATAAAAAATGAGTGGGGGAGGGTATAGCTCGGTGGTAGAATACGTGCTTAGCATGCACAAGGTCCTGGGTTTAATCCCCCAGTACCTCCACTTAAATAAATAACCTCCTCACAAAAAAAATAAGGAATCCAAAGAGTGGGCAGGCAGACCAAAACACATAAATATATAAAATCAGGTTATCATTAGAGACAAAACTCAAATCAGATGATATCCTCTCTAAAATAGTGAAAGAAAAGGGTGAAAAAAATACTAAGTATTAAAGGCAAAAAGTTTGTGATCTTTGTATCTAGCCAAGTGGTCATCTAAGAGAAGGAACCAGAAAGAAATTGTTAGACATTCAGGAATTTTTTTTTTAAGTTATTAAACACCCATTCAGAAAAATAAACAAATGAAAAAAAACTCAAAAAACTACATTAATAAAGACATGGACTCACAAGTGAATTAAAAATAAGAAAATACCCAGTCTCCTTTCTATTCTAAAAATTGTGGCTAGAAAGGATCTAGAGGTGGCCAATATAAATAACCTTTTAAAAATATGAAGTTTTAAAAAAGTTCACATGCTGATTTATAATGCCAAATTAAAACAAGAGGGGAAATGTAACACTGCAATTAATGTCTAAAAATGCATTCAAACACTTTTAAATGAAAAAAAGTCCCTATCATACTTAAAAGTGTTTAGTTTTAAGCCTTAAACAAATTTGAAGATTTGAAAAATCATACTTAGGGTAGAAAGAATTATGTAGAATGGGAAACTCATTCACTAATGTAAAATTGGTACAACCTTTCTAGAGCAAGTTGGAAATATGCATTAAAAACCTCAGAAATGTTTTTTAAAAAAAGACTTAGAAGCGTATATCCTGCGAAATACAAAACTATTCACAGTATGATTTCAACTATATAACTAAAAAAATATTTATACTCACACAAGAAAACTCCAGAAGAAAGTTCACAAGAGTAACAATAATTATCTACAGACGTGGACTACGGGTAATTTTTATTTTCATATAATTTCTTCTCTTTCCAAAAATAAACCTATATTATTAATATTGTCAGAGAAAAACTTCACTTCAGATGAATTCTCATGTTAGCTTACATTTTTATCCCTTAAAGTCAGAAGACTTGTTTCAATTTTTGATCCAAGGTATATTAATATGATAGATTTTCAAGATTTTCTCAGCATTTACTGCTATTTGAATAATTTTAATATTATTTATTATCTTGGGTTCTTCTCACACAAATAAAGGTTTCTATTTCACATCTGTTACTAAGATAATATTACTAAATAATAAGATCGTAAATCTAAATGTGACGGTGTAATAGGATCACATATACAGAAAATCACAGAATATAAAACAATAACTCAACATACCTATGAAGGATATTCATTACTTTCCAGTCACCAGTAACACCACTACTCATCCGAATCTTTTGGGCAATGTTGGAAACAGCTGCAAGAATTGCTGCTCCATCATTTCTTTGGAGTGCAGCACTGCCTAGGACTACCATTGGTTTTTTAGCTTCCTTTAGGATCTATTGAAAAAGATAACCAAAAAAACTTCTGATTTAAAAAACATTAAAAATAAACTAAATCTAACCAAATTTGCATCTACAATATGCTGTCCCAAGTATTAGTTCCAACATGAATGTCTTGATTTGCTAGTCAACATAAGGACATACAATAGACATGGTACTTGAGCAGGGTTTCTCCTATTACACACAGTATCATCTGAACCTCTACACAGACATTCCTCAATTTTTCTGGGACCTAACTGTATTCATTCTGACCAAAGGATGTTTGGCTCAGGTTTTCATTTCCAGAGCTTACTTTTTGAAAATCTATTTTATCTGGTACTTGTTTAGCCTTTTCACAGCACTAGCAAGATGTTTTTTGAGTAAATCTGGTTGTATGTATGTCCTCCTCTTTGTAGTATCTAGGTATAATTCTTATGCTGAGTCTTTGGTTGAAGCCAGCTATTTATTGAAGAATGACACAGAAGATGGCAGGAGAGTGAGCTGTTATTAGTCTACAGCTTTACTTCTAATTTTTCCATCCTCCCCATATCTGCAGTTTCTTGCACTTGGGGTGTATTCCCTCTCTATTTTAGGTATTCAGGTAGTCACTATGGTTCAAAGCAAAGCCCTTGAAGTTTTAGGTATTCTGCACTGTGATCTAGTGATCACTGTTTTCCCTATCTTCTCCTCCCTTCTTGGGACACAGAGAGTAGATGGAAGATAATATACATGTAATAAAGGAAAAAAGACAGATAAGATAGAAAAGGGGATTCAATATTTGCACTGTTCAGAGTTCTTAACAAGGAGAACAGAACTCATTAGTAGAAAATACATGTAAATCTATTACATAAGAAAACTCTCCTGAAGAACGCTCATCACATTCTGGGGCATGGGGACGTGAACTGGAGAGAGAAGAGGGATTCTTTTCAATAAAGTTTTAAAAATACTTTTGATCATTATAATCACAATGATGGTATCCAAAACTGACAAACAAAGGAGATGGGTTTGGCTGCTTTGTCCCTTCGCACTTGACTTTCTTCTTCCCTACACCTGAAGCTGTAAGTGGAGCAACCACCTTGGAAGCACGAGGAGAGGCTCACACACAAACCACAAACACACGTGAGTGAACAAGGGCACTGAGAATGGCAAAGCAGGAAGTCAGGCTCCTGCCTTGGTGACATCCTTGGACAACTGCCTACTATCAGAAATCACTGTTACATAAGAAAAAGAAACCCTTTAAGTTTTTTTTAAGCAATCACCAGCCCACCACCACACACACACACACAAATCCTAAAACAAAAAGCACCCTGAATCGTTAGACTGAAAGATGCATTGTCCCATAAAAAAATGGTAGAGAACCACTATCATTAAGATATAGTCCAATGAAGTTACTAAATGTCAAGGATAAAGCAGCAAGTATAAAAAAAAAATTATCTAGACAACAACAAAAAAACAATAGGACAGGGCTGGGGGAGAATATGGTTGACAACAGGCTTCTCCAGAGGAATAAAAGGCAGTTCAGAAGGAAAAAAAAATACAACCCTATAAAGCCCTGCCAAGGCTCTCTTCAGGAATAAAACAGACATTCTCAAGAAAGAAAGAACTCAAGGAAAATCCTTCTTGGGAAAAAAAAATAACCAAAAACTCTGAACTCCAGACAGCAATGAAATGAATGTAAATAAAGAACTCAGTAATAAAAAAGTCATGTAAAAGAACTGGTGAAATTTCTTTTAGGAATAATACTTCTTGCTGTAAAGAAAGATTTCACTGAAATTTGAAGTTCAATTCTTCCAGTTTCACTTCATTTTCTTTTCTGATTAACTTCAAGTAAAATTAAACTCTGATAAATAAAAATGTACATCATGATTTCATTCTTGTTTACTTATCTATTCATCCATCTTGCCCTATATATGAATAGAGAGGTGACTATGAGGTTTCGTCAATATTCGTTTGGGGTGGTGGGATTTTCGATAATTTTTATTTTCTTACATATTATTTCCTATATTGCTGGGTTTTTTTTCAACAGTAATCACATATTGTTACTGTAAAAACAATAAAATTTAAAAACAACACTTGAAAATCAACAAGAGTAGATACACATAACTTGAGAGCACCTGGCTGAATGGATGGCTACCCGAAGCAATGTCTTGAAGAATTTTGGGAGAATCTCCCAGATGGTCATATCTGTAAGTGAGATCCACCGGGCTGCCTATAAGGGCCACTTGTAAGTCATTGTGAAGCCAGCTGAAATAAAAACAACAGTTTTTAGAGCTAAATCACTAAGTTAGCATAATTACCAGTCTTATCAATGCTAAGTGCTACATCTATTTAAATTACAAAATGTTAAAAAAGCACAAAAGCACTTCCAGAACACTCAACTTTAAAAGATATAATTTACTATGTACCTTTCAAAATAAAGTGTTTTAAAAACACAGGCATACCTTGGAGATATTGTGGGTTCGGTCCCAGACCACCATCAACGAAGTGAGTATCGCAATAAAGGAAGTCCCATGAATTTTTTGGTTTCCCAGTGCATATGTAAGTTATGTTTACACTACACTGCAGTCTAATTAAATGTACAAAAGTATTACATAAAAAAATATATATACACACATATCTTCAATAAAAAATACTTTATTGCTAAAAAAATGCTAACCATAACCTGAATCTTGAGTGAGTTGAAATCTTTTTGCTGGTGGAGGGTCTTGCCTCGATGTTTATGGCTGCTGAATAATCAGGGTGGTGGCTGCTGAAGGCTGGGGTGGCTGCAGCAATGTCTTAAAATAAGACACTAATGAAGTCTGCTGAGTCAATGAACTCTTCCTTTCACGAACAAATCTCTAGCCATGCTACCCACCATAGAAATTTTTTTCAAAATTGGAGTCAGTCCTCTCAAATCCTGCCGCCGCTTTATCAACTAAATTAATGTAATATTCTAAATTCTCTATTGTCATTTCAACAATTTTTTACAGGATTCTGTAAAGATAGTAGACTCCATCTCAAAAAATCACTTTCTCCGCTTACCCATCAGAATTAACTCCTCACCCATTAAAGTGTTACCATTGAGATCGCAGCAATTCACTCACATCTTTAGGATCCACTTCTAATTCTAGTTCTCTTGCAATTTGCACATCTGCAGTAACTTCCTCCACTAAAATCTTGAGTCCCTCAAAGTCACCCATGAGGGTTGAAATCAACTTCTTTCAAATTCCTGTTAATGTTGATTATCTTAACCTCTTCCCAGAATCATGAATTTGCTTAATGGCATCTAGAATGGTGAATTCTTTCCAGAAGGTTTTCAATTTACTTTGCCCAGATCCATTAGTGGAATCACTATGGCAGCTATAGCCTTAAGAAATATATTTCTTAAATAGTAAGTCTTAAAAACCAAAATTGCTCCTTAATCTATGAGCTGCAGAATTGCTGTTGTGTTACCAGGCACAAAACAACATTAATCTCATTGTACATCTCCATCAGATGTCTTGAGTGATCAGGTCCAACTGTCAATTAGCAGTAATACTCTGAAAGGAATCTTTTTTTCTGAACAAATGTGCAGTCACCCAAGCTTTGCTGTTCCATTTATTGAGCAGAGTTAGAGTAGATTTAGTATAATTCTTAAGGGCCCTAGGATTTTCAGAATGGCAAGCTGAACAGTGGCTTCAACTTAAAAGTCACCAGGTGTATTAGCTCCTAACAGCCTGTCCTTTGAAACTCTGAAACCAGGCATTGACAACTCCCTAGCTATGAAAGTCCTAGATAGCATCTTTTTCCAATATAAGGATGTTTTATTTACATTGAAAATCTGCTGTTTAGTGTAGCCACCCTCATTATCTGAGCTAGATCTTCTGGATAACTTGCTGCAGCTTCTACATCAGCACTTGCTGCTTCATCTTGTGCTTTTATGTTATGAAGACAGCTTCTTTCCTTAAACCTCATGACCAACCTCTGCTAGCTTCAAATTTTTCTTCTGCAGCTTCCTCACCTTCCTCAGCCTTCAGAACTAAAGAGTTAGGGCTTTGCTCTGGATTAGGCTTTAGCTTAAGGGAATGTTTTGGCCAGTCTGATCTATCCAGACCACTGTAACTTTCTCTGTATCAGCAATAAGGCTGTTCTGCTCTTACCATTCATGTGCTCAATGGAATAGCACTTTTAAGTTCCTTCAAGAACTTTTCCTTTGCATTCACAACTCGGCTAACCGTTTGGCACAAGAGGCCTAGCTTTTGGCCTATCTCAAACACTTGAACATTTAGAAGCCATCGTAGGTCATTAATTGGACTACTTTCAGTATTTCTTTGTCTCAGGGAATAGGGAGACCCAAGGAGAGGAAGAGAGATGGGGAACAACCAGTTGGCAAAGCAGCTAGAACACACCAACATTTATTAATTAAATTCACCATCTTATGTGGGTATGGTTTGTGGTGTCCCCAAATAATTACAATAATAATATCTAAAATCACTGGTCACAGATCACCACAACAAATATAATAATAAACAAGTTTACAATACTGCGAGAATGACCAAAATATGACACAGAGACACAAAGTAGACAAATACTGTTGGAAAATGGTGATGATAGACTTACTCAATGCAGGGCTACCATAAACTTTAAATTTGAAAAAAGCAGTATCTGCAAAGTACAATAAAGCAAAGCACAACAAAATGAGGTAAGCCTGTACAATGAATTCATTTGCTGTGTACGAATGCTAACTCTAAGCTAGCTATAAACAAAGACATTAATTTTAGAATAAATGATCTATAGTCTTTATTTTGCCATATTTACATAGCAAAGTCAATTATTTCATTATCCATTTGGCCATTTAAATAAAGTTCATAAAAATAGACCGCATCATTCATATCTATTCTCTTTGGTAGGGAAGTATGGATCCAGGACCTGCAAAAATAGTTATAAATGCAGTGATCATATTCTTGGTTTGTCTGAGACAGTGGTGGGTTTTACCTGTTATCCTAGAGTAATTAACAACTCCTCCTTTTACTCTCAACAGTATCCTATTTTAGACAATAAATAATATGGTTGACCTATTCATAAGTATCTAGGATATAAAAAGATGGAGAGGCATTCTACAAAATAATTGGCCCTATACTCTTCAAAAAAATGTCAAAAAATGAGACTGAATAGTCATGACACTAACGGCAATGTGTAACTCCAGACTGGATCCTCAGCAGGAAAAAATTATAAAAGAGAGAGAAAAATCAGAATATAAACTATGAACTAGATAGTAACACTGTATCAATACTAAATTCTTGATTAACTAGAGAATTATATTCTTAAACAGAGAATGTGTCTTAAGAAAATTCTTAGGAAATTCACACAGAAGTATTTACTGTGGGAGAAAAAGGATATCATACCTACAAACCTACTTTCAAAAGATTATATTCACACATGGAGAAAAAAATAGAATATTAAAATTGGTTCACTTGGGTGAACATTATACAATAAATGGGTATACAAAGATCATTTTAAGTACCTTAAATTACTTCAAACTAAAAAGATAAAATAAAAAGATCAGCAGGGGGAGAAGGAGGGAACGGACCTGTTAGAAATTGGCCTCCAGTTATCTTTTGGAGTCTCACTCCCACTAACACTATTATGAAATCAGCTAAAATGGTCACTTTTCATATATGAAACAAACTATTATATAAATGTTTTTAAAACCCTGAATATTATTACTAACCTTTTTCGAATTCTAGCATTAAATAGTGGTGCCTCAAAACGTGGATTTGTACCAACCAAAAGGACAACATCCGCCTCTTCCACACCAGCAATTGTAGTATTAAGAAGGTAATTGGAACGCAGATCCGTGCTAGAAACACAAAATACAAAATGCAATTTTACTTTAAAACTAATGCACACCGACAATCTATGAAATATTCTTATGTCATCAAACCTATGGCACTCCAGACAAAAAAGTTTTATGAAGTATCCTTAACTTACATCGAAGGTTCAGATACTTATTAATAATTGAATTCTCTAACAGCTCCTGATTTGACTTTGTTCTATATGTGAAAATAAAGTAGCAGGAATGTTGGAGTATCCCAGTTATCACATATAAATCATAGATGCTATAGATGTGTTGGTTTAAACACAACTTGTAACTGGGGGGAAAGAAAAGAAAGAAAGCCTAGATCCTAGCTTCAAATTTCTCACCCAGCTCCCGCAGTGGGGAAGACCTCTTCAGTGCACAGGGTGTCAGAGTCCACTCTATTAAGTAAATCTTTGAGAGCTACCAGGGCTTCAGCATCCACCAAGCCACCTGCAACTGCTGCCACATCACTGCCTTGAAAACTCTGCAACTAAAAATGGATGAAAAGGGTATCATGAAGAAACCTTCACTGAGCAAAAGACCACAATGAATTGTTCAGAAAACAAAACAGTAATGTAGTCATTTTCAAGTTCAAAAAAAGCAACAAACATCTGACTAAAAAGTTTTGCACCATTAATCTAAAAGTGAAAAGCAGAAGTGTATGTGGGACCAAGGCTAATAACATCAGCTTGGAATAAAGCTATTTGTTTTAAATTGGGAACAAAGGGGCCTCAAAATGATGTCTGAAGGATGAAAACTGTGGAGCTATAATTAAATACAACTTCTTCTGAAGTATCTGTCATTCCTTTAAACCCTTTATGGATATTGTTTTTCTATGACCAGAAAGCCATTCCCCTCATTTCTGCTCTGGTAAGCCTGTATTCGTGCTTAGCCTTTGTCTAAGGAGTCACCTTACCTAGATAACATGCTAGCCCTGGTTAGGCATCCCTCCAATGTGCTCTCGCATGTATCATTTTTGGCACAACCATCAAAATAGCATATAATAGTTGCCTAATTATGCATCTATTCCTACTACAAGATTGTGGGAGGCCGGAACCATGTACTAGAGGTCTTTATATCCCTACATCTAGTGTGACATCTGGCATACAGTTCTCCATAAATGTTGGTTAAATGGAAGGTAATCTTGGCAAGAGGAAAGAAGTGAAGACAAACACATCCCCTCTTCATTACAAAGATGTCCCTTGGAAATCACAAATATATTTATTCTATATTTCAATCTTTTACCATTCCAGCTACACGAGAGAGCGCATCCTCCCAGGTGGTATACGTTAAAAGCCCCTTTTCATTTCTGACCATCGGCTCGGTAAGTCTTTGACGTTTTAGCCCATCATAGGCAAATCTAGATAACAGAAATTACATCATTTGTGAATGCTGCTGAAGAGGCAACCATAACTTTCAACTTTAAAATCTAAAAGAAATGTTATTTAAATACAGGATTGGCTCAAGTGTTAATTAGAATAAATACTTGGACACAAATAATTATTCCAGGTTTTTTTGGGAGTTGAACTAATAAATATTTTATGAGTATCACCTAAAACTATAATACCACCTATAAAGTTTGAGTTCTTATAATTTTCAGTTAACTGAATAATCTTAAAATTGTTGTAACACACAAAAAAATTGGTAGCTAAGAAAGCCAAACCATTTTTACTTATAAAACTTGGGCATCTCTAGATATTTCATCAAAATTATGTTGTGCCAACTGTGACTTATATTTAGCTTCTGTTCTCCAATGAGACAGAGACAAACTGAAATAGATTAAGATTAATTTATTTCAATTTCTCCATCTGGGAGGAAAAAAGGTATTTCTCAAAATTATTATGAAAGCCAGTGATACACACAGGGCTATTAATGTCAATTTTGTCCAATTCTCTATATAAACAGTACAGATATCAATAGTCTATATTCATTAACTTGCAAATATAAAATATAGCTCTTTAAAATAAAGATAATTATAAAAGTTTAAGTCAATTGCAAAAGTTAAAGGAAACAATATGGCATGTACCTGGTTTTATCAGAGATCCATTCTTCATTGATGTCCTCGTGCATCCTTGGCAAAATCCTCATCACCTCTCCAGTTCTTGTGCTGACCACAATATTACTTCCAACTGCATCCATCACATCAATGGATTCTGTCTTTCTAAGAAAATAAAACACACATATTTACTATATTGCTTTTGAGAATAAGGAAAAAATTTGTTACCAGTTTACCAAAACCAACAAATTCTGCAATTACTTTCCTTTCTGAATTTCTAAAAATAATGGAACTTAGAGGAATTGTGATGTATACTCTCATATCTGAATAGATCATAATGCAAAAATAAAACCTTTAAAACTATTATCTAATACAGAAGCCAACTGGAAGGGCACCAAATAGCCAAATCTGGGATAATCTGAGTATCAAAATAAATAATAAGGGGGTAGGATTTCTGCATATGGCTAGTTAAGGAGCTTGACAAATCCTCCCCACCAAAAGCAAAAATAAAGCTAGGCAAAACTGACAAAAGTAACCAACTCAATTCTTTGGAGAGCTACCAAAAGTATATATACAACATCATGAGAAGCTTTTATGTGTGGAAAAACTGCTAAACTTCGAGTAAGAACAGAGGAAATCAGTGCTGTTCTGGCTTGAGACTATTCTTATCCCCTTTCACACCACCTTGAGCTGGAGGTTCTGCCAGGATGGGGCAAACTCTGCTGATAGGAGTGTCTTTACTGCAGACAAAGAGTCACTCAATTTGGAGAAATGGGGAAGGCTGTCTGCGAAAGTGATATCCTAGAGGTCACTGAGCTGAGGAAAGCCAAGCGTCTACTGGTTTGAGGCTGCAGTCAGGGCAAGCATTCCTAGGGGAGGCTGCACATAATGCCAACTTAGACTAGAGGGAGCCCACGCTGTTCACACACTCCTTAACAACACAGAGATGAAAAGGCCCATGCAAAGTACAAGCTGGGCAGACCTGAAAACAGCCTTAACTTTGAATATGCATTTCTATCCACATAGATTAACAGGCAGGGGATGGAAACTTTATTGGCTCAAGGATTCTGAGTATCTGACTACTAAGTGATACAGACACAGAAGCAACCCCTAAGAAGCCCTGCTTAAAAATAAAAACAAGAGTATTAAAATATATTTTAAAAACTAAGGAAAACCATGTTTAAATATTAAAGGGAAATATGAAACCATGAATCAACAAGTAGAGATTCTCATAAGGATATGCAAATTATAAAAAAGAACCAAATAGAAATTCTGAAGTTGAAAAGTGTGACTAATAAAAAATTCACTACTGGGGCTGAATAGCAGATTTGACACGGCAAATAAAAGAATGAATAAACCTGACAATAGATCAACAGAATTTATCCAATTTGAAAAGCAAAGAGAAAAAATTAAGAAAAATGAACAGAATCTCAGACACCTGTGGCACAACACTAAAGTGTACCAACACATGCATTATAGAAGCCTCAGGAGAGGAGAAAAAACTTTCTACATAAACATTTCAGTTATGTACTCTCTCCCCCCTGCACTCAACCCCTGAAACCTTTTGTATACATAAATACATTGTTTAAAGTCTTCAATTTCAAGATACTCCCATATACTCTGATAGAAGTTTAAAATTGGAGGGCAATTTGATGTGATACGTTTCTAGAACCTAAAAAATATTCAAATTTATTGTGACTATCTATTACATCTCTTGGTTTAATCAGAAGAATCAGAGATATCTAAGAAAATGTATAAATAATCATGTTTACCATAGATTTGTAATTATAAAAAAAAATAAACTAAATGTCTATTAATAGAAACTGATTAAATAAAGTATGGTATGTATACATGGTTGAAAATTTAAAATACAATGAGAGGAAACTATAAATTTTTAAAAATCAGGACAATCTTACTCCGTGGAAGTACAAGTGAATAAAACAATTTTGTGGTTAAGTACTTTGGAGTTAATTTCCAAGAAAACCACAGTAATTTGAACAGGTTCATCCTAGCCTTCAACCTAACAACTTATCTTCCATTAAAAGGGTTTTACTTACAGCAATCAAAAACTTAGCACACCAAAACAATCAGAGCTCAGGAGGAACATGAACCTTAATTTTTTTTTGAATAGTAGTGAAATAAAGGACAAAAAACACAACAATGATGAATACCTTGTTTCCCAAGGCCGGGCGGTAAAGGCATAGGGCTTAGAGGTCAGGGCACCTACAGGGCATATGTCAATGATATTTCCAGAAAGTTCAGACATGAACATCTTTTCAATGTATGTGCCAACCTGCATATCATTTCCTCTGCCTGTTGTTCCCAAATCATCTACTCCTGCAATCTCACTTGCAAATCTGCAAGATAAAAATGTACCATCAAATGGTCAAACCCAGCAAAATGACCTCCTTTCCTATCATTACCACCAAGAGATAATGATTTTCAAAACACTTAAAAGATACAAATATGTTTTCAATGGTGAACATAGTCCCTGAATAAAAAAATAATTCAATAAATGTTCGCATTTAATTTGAAGTATAATACACATACGGAAAACTGCACAAATCATGAGTATAGCTCAGCAAGTTATCACAGTTAATGCTTGTACATTTTGATTTTTAAATCCAACTAAAGTTGATATTAAGTAAAAGTGGAAACTTATTCATTTTATTGGCTATGCAAGAAACAACTGAAAACAACACTCCTCTTCTCCCACCAATAAAAGTTGCCATCTGGGGAGAGGGTGTAGCTCAAGTGGTAGAGCACATGCTTAGCATGCATGAGATCCTGAGTTCAATCCCCAGTACCTCCTCTAAAAAATATTAATAAATAAATGAATAAACCTAATTACCTCCCCCCTCAAAAATAAAAATAAAAAAATAGAAGTTGCCATCGTTTCCAGTGTCGTTATTCCACCAAATTTTGTGACTATTAAATAAGTATACGTATGACATTCCAGAAGAGACAAGGAAAAAAAATTACCTGATGCAGCGAGTACACTGTATACATCTAGTCATAATGGTTTTTACCAATGGCCCAATGTTCTTGTCCTCCACAGCACGTTTCCCCTCTAAAAATCGGCTCCTATCACTTCCAAACATCATGGACTGATCCTTAAGTAGATTATGAAAACATTAATCTAATTTTGCTATCAAAATTAAAACTTGAGACAACCAAGAAGATTTACAAACTTAGACTACATACCTGCAAATCACATTCACCTCCTTGGTCACAAATAGGACAGTCCAATGGGTGATTTGCTAATAAGAACTCCATCACACCTTCTCTGTATGGAAAATTATAATATATAAAATGATGTCAATCGCTGGCATTCAAAATGGTTTACATATAAGTTATTTAAATAACCATCACAGATGTATGCTCTCAAATAGTATTTACTTTACATTTATTATCAGAAATGCCAATGTAACTATCATTAGCATTAAATACATAATCTAAAAAATGTTTATAGGAGTCTAGAATAAAGTATCATTAGAGAATCTAAAAAATTATGACTTTTAACAATACAGAGTTACCAAAAGTTGCTGAATGGTCCTCAGAAAACATTTACATTAATTTAAAACAAAAACACAAATGCAAAGCAAAAACAAGCCCAACCACAGTACAGTATCACTGCAATAAACTCAGTTCAATAAGCCCCAGACTCACTGTTCATCACAAATTGAGCAAGGTTCTAAACATGGAATCTTAACGCTGATACCAATCTAGGCTCAAAACCACAAACACCTGACTTTACCTCCTTTACTGTGTACTCACTTCCACTGCTCCTAGAAGCCAAGCATCCAAACTTGTTCAGTTTTGATACCGAATTTCTCATCTATGGGAGGGTCTACTTCCTGAAATGTGCAATTTCTGCTCTTAGAAGTCATTATGCCGAGTTAACAATAAAGTACCTGGCTTTCTTAGATTTCTCTGAGTTTGTCAGGATATTCCAACCTTTCATTACTGGCATGGCACAAGCAGCTACAACCTGGAATTTCAATGCAAAAATCTGTATTTGTATTTATTTGTAATTAAGTAATCCAAAATATAAAAACATTATACATTTGAAAATAAGGGAAGAACAGAGTATTTCTGAAGACTGAACTTCTTAGTTTTCATATTTATAATATGATAATCTGGCATTTTACATTTCTCTAAGAAACAAATAAGATATCCTCTTAATTTTATTCTAATAATCAATGCGATTTTTTCCTAAGAGACTCTGAAACAGAACATCAAATAACCGTGTTTTGATTAGCAGGCACTACTGAATCAGAACTGCAAGAACCAAAACAATAAAACTGAATGTGAACCTCTTCACTGCAACCCTATTGCCTAGTGAAAATGGCACAGCATAATCACTTCTAATGTGCTGCCTGGCAACTCCACATCCTAGTTGTGTGTTATATAGTCATGTGGAAATACTGACCACTCCAAGAAGCCCCCTTTAATTTCTAAGTGTTACAATTATATGTCACTTGCAGCATTTACAAAGCATTTTCATTGATGTGTTTCCAGTTTCAAAATGAAGAGAATCAATCACACAAAGAATTAATTTACAGATAGACGTAAACAGGACTAGATTCTCCACTACCACAAAACTGATTCTAAATAAAGTTTGCTGCAAGACTTAAAGTCTTCTACCTTCTACAGCATGGTGTGGAATTTTAGATATGAAGTACCTTAGGCGCTTTCTCAATTTCAACAAGGCACATCCTGCAGTTTCCGGCAACTGACAACCTTTCATGATAACAGAATCGAGGGATCTGCATGCCAACCTTCTCACAAGCCTAGAAGACAAAGTTAAAAATTTTTGCTATAGAATAACCTGAACTTATCCTTGTCTAAACACAGGAAAAAGGAAACACAAACAAAGAATCCAACATGAGGCCATCTCCTGCCTATCTATAAATATTGGTATCTTCATTCTTACTTCATTACCAAAGAGATTTCCCTCCTGTTCTTTGCTCTTGATTCCCAAACCCCGTCCACTCTGAAGCTACCTCTCTAAAGATCCTCACTAAGCCTACACCTTATGTGGAAGACACTGGATAAAGACTGTGCTGAAGGCTTAATTCCCCATTTCTATTCTGAACTACTGTCCACAAAGACTCCCCCTTCAAACTATATCCCAGTGGTTTCATACCTGGACTTTCTCCTTGACTAGCTCTCTTTCTTTGAATTAGACTACATTTCATACCATCTGGCTGGCTATGATCTGGTTCTATCTTTGGCTCCATATATCCCACCCAGGTCTCTCACTCCCACTGCTGACTGAAGCTCTTCCCAGTTTCCATTTGCCTAGTGAGGGAGATTAGTTCTGCTCTACCAATTATTCTTGCTTCTTCTCTGAGCCTATACATGTATTTAAATTTCCTGTAGAATTAGTTCTTCCATCCTGAGCCTTCATTCTAAAGCTCTGCCATCAATTTTCAATATTTTAACTACTTAGCAAAACTGTATCGAGTCTTTCTATGCGCTAGATGCAGTGGGCCAACTGTCCCAGCCCTCACACTAGCTCACATTATATATGATGATTACACTCAAACCTTCATCTGCAGCCCTGACAGTCCTCCACTTCTCCAAGCTATAAATAGGCATTTGCATGAGTAAGCTCCATAGACAGCCAAAAATTTCTACTATACATCCCCAAATAAGCTACCACCACCAGGAATCACAAAAACTCCTCTGCTCTTCATCATTAAGGCCTGTCTATATCTCATTCTCCCTTGAATATACCCTCTTGTTTTCATTCCCACTGCCACCATTTTAGGCCTTTTTATTTCCT